GCCTTACGACACACAGAAAAAAGGGAGAGGGGGGATATGATAGGAACGTATAAAATACTCAGGGGAATTGACAGAGTGGAAATACACGAAATGTTCACACGGAATAGTAACAGAACGAGGGGACATGGGTGGAAGCTGGAAACTCAGATGAGTCACAGAGATGTTAGGAAGTTTTCTTTTAGCGTGAGAGTAGTGGGAAAATGGAATGCACTTAAGGAACAGGTGGTGGAAGCAAACAACACGTTCATAATTTTAAAACTAGATATGATAGGGAAGTAGGACCGGAGTCATTGCTGTAAACAACCGAATGCTTGCAAGGCGGGACCTAAGAGTCAATGCTCGATCCTGCAGGCACAAATAGGCGGGTACAAATAGATGAGTACACACACACACACATACACACACACACACACACACACACACACACACACACACACACACATGTGGGGCCTCGTAGCCTGGTGGATAGCGCGCAGGACTCGTAATTCTGTGGCGCGGGTTCGATTCCCGCACGAGGCAGAAACAAATGGGCAAAGTTTCTTTCACCCTAAGTGCCCCTGTTACCTAGCAGTAAATAGGTACCTGGGAGCTAGTCAGCTGTCACGGGCTGCTTCCTGGGGTGTGTGTGTGTGTGTGTGTGGTGTGGGGAAAAAAAAAAGTAGTTAGTAAACAGTTGATTGACAGTTGAGAGGCGGGCCGAAAGAACAAAGCTCAACCACCGCAAAAACACAACTAGTAAACACACCAGAAAGCAGAGAGGGATATCAGAGAACCAAGAACGAGTATGTTAGTGTGAGAAGAGAAGCTGAGAAAAAGTATGAAAATGATTTAGCTAATAAAGCCAAGACTGAACCAAAACTACTACAGAGTCACATCAGGAGGAAGACAACAGTGAAGGAACAGGTGATGAAACTTAGATCGGGTGAGGACAGGTACACAGAAAATGACAAAGAGGTGTGTGAAGAACACAATAAGAGGTTCCAAGAAGTCTTCACAATAGAACAAAGAGAGGTCACTGCGCTAGGAGAGGTGGCAGTAAACCAGGCGTCCTTGGAAGGGTTCGAAATTACAAGAGATCAAGAGGTCAAGAGGCACCTGTTGGATCTGGACGTGAGAAAGGCTGTTGGCCCGGACGGAATCTCGCCATGGGTATAGAAAGAGTGTGCAGGAGCACTTTGTTTGCCACTCTCCATAGTGTATAGTAGGTCACTGGAAACGGGAGACCTACCAGAAATATGGAAGACGGCTAATGTAGTCCCAATATACAAAAAGGGTGACAGACAAGAGGGACTGAACTACAGGCCAGTGTTCTTAACTTGTATACCATGCAAGGTGATGGAGAAGATCGTGAGAAAAAATCTAGTAACATATATGGAGAGAAGAAATTTCGTGACAACCCATCAACATGGGTTCAGGGAGGGTAAATCTTGCCTTACAGGCTTAATAGAATTCTACGATCAGGTGACAAAGATTAAGCAAGAAAGAGAAGAATGGGCGGAAAGCATTTTTTTGGACTGTCAGAAAGCCTTTGACACAGTACCTCATAAAAGGCTGATGCATAAGCTGGAGAAACAGGCAGGAGTAACTGGTAGGGCGCTCCAGTGGATAAGGGAGTACCTAAGCAATAGGAAGCAAAGAGTTACGGTGAGGGGTGAGACCTCAGATTGGCGTGAAGTCGCCAGTGGAGTCCCACAGGGCTCTGTACGAGGACCTATCCTGTTTCTGATATACGTAAATGATCTCCCAGAGGGTATAGACTCATTCTTCTCAATGTTTGCTGACGACGCCAAAATTATGAGAAGGATTAACACAGAGGAGGACAGCTTGAGGCTTCAAAAAAACCTGGACAAGCTGCAGGAATGGTCGAACAAATGGTTGTTAGAGTTTAACCCAAGCAAAGGCTATATAAAGAAGATAGGTGTAGGGAGCAGGAGGCCAGATACAAGGTATCATTTGGGAGATGAAATACTTCAAGAGTCAGAGAGAGAGAGAGAAAGATCTGGGGATTGATATCACGTCAGACCTGTCCCCGGAAGCTCATATCAAGAGGATAACATCAGCAGCATATGCCAGATTGGCTGACATAAGAACGGCCTTTAGAAACTTGTGTAAGGAATCTTTCAGAACTTTGTATACAACATATGTCAGACCAATCCTGGAGTATGCGGCACCAGCATGGAGTCCACATCTTGTCAAGGATAAGACTAAATTGGAAAAGGTTCAAAGGTTTGCCACCAGACTAGTACCCGAGCTGAGAGGTATGAGCTACGAGGAGAGACTACGGGAATTAACCCTCACGAATTGATAGGGTAGATAAAGACAGACTATTTAACACAAGGGGCACACGCATTAGGAGACACGGGTGGAAATTGAGTGTCCAAATGAGCCATAAAGACGTTAGAAAGAATTTTGTCAGTGTCAGAGTAGTAGACAAATGGAATGCATTAGGCAGTGATGTGGTGGAGGCTGACTCCATACACAGCTTCAAGTGTAGATATGATAGAGCCCAGTAGGCTCAGGAACCTGTACATTAGTTGACTGACAGTTGAGAGACGGGACCAAAGAGCCAGTGCTCAACCCCCGCAAACACAACTAGGTAAGTACACACACACACATCCCCAAGAAGCAGCCCGCAGCAGCTGTCTAACTCCCAGGTACCTATTTACTGTTAGGTGAACAGGCCCACAAGGGTGAAAGAATATCTGCTCACTTGTTTCTGCCTCTGCCGGTGATCAAACCCGGGCCCTTTGAACTACGACCCCAGAGCGCTATCCACTCAGCCGTGAGGCTCTGTAGACAGTGAAGGATGTGTTTACTCACCTAGTTGTGCTTGCGGGGGTTGAGCTCTGGCTCTTTGGTCCCGCCTCTCAACCGCCAATCAACTGGTGTACAGATTCCTCAGCTTACTGGGCTCTATCATATCTACATTTGAAGCTGTATATGGAGTCAGTCTCCACCACATTACTGCCTAATGCGTTCCACCTGTTAACTACTCTGACACTGAAAAAGTTCTTCCTAACGTCCCTGTGGCTCATTTGAGTACTCAGTCTCCACCTGTGTCCCCTTGTTCGCGTACCACCAGCGTTAAAAAGTTTATCCTTATCAACCCTGTCAATTCTTCTGAGAATTTTGTAGGTCGTGATCATGTCTCCCCTCACTCTTCTGTCTTCCGGTGTCGTGAGGTGCACCTCACGCAGTCTTTCCTCGTAACTCATGCCCCTTAGTTCTGGGACTAGCCTAGTAGCATACCTCTGAACACTTTTACCGGCTTCATCTTGTGCTTGACAAAGTACGGGCTCCATGCTGGGGCCGCATACTCCAGGATTGGTCTTACATATGTGGTGTACAAGGTTCTGAATTATTCCTTACACAGGTTCCTGAAGGCAGTTCTGATGTTAGCCAGCCTCGCATATGCCGCAGATGTAATTCTTTTTATGTGGGCTTCAGGAGACAAGTTTGGTGTGATATCAACTGCTAGATCTTTCTCTCTGTCCGTTTCATTAAGTACTTCATCTCCCATTCGGTATCCTGTGTCTGGCCTTCTGTTTCCACCGCCTAGTTTCATAACCTTGCTTTTACTCAGGTTGAACTTTAGTAGCCATATGTTGGACCATTTATTCAGTCTGTCTAGGTTATCTTTTAGCCTCCTACTATCATCAACGTGTGTGTGTGTGTTTGTGTGTTTGTGTGTGTGTGTGTGTGTGTGTGTGTGTGTGTGTGTGTGTGTGTGTGTGTGTGTGTGTGTGTGTGTGTGTGTGTGTGTGTGTGTGTGTGTGTACTCACCTAATACTCACCTGTGTGTGTGTGTGTGTGTGTGTGTGTGTGTGTGTGTGTGTACTCACCTATTTGTACTCATCTAGTTGTGCTTGCGGGGGTTGAGCTCTGGCTCTTTGGTCCCGCCTCTCAACTGTCAATCAACTGGTGTACAGATTCCTGAGCCTACTGGGCTCTATCATATATACACTTGAAACTGTGTATGGAGTTAGCCTCCACCACATCACTTCCTAATGCATTCCACTTGTTAACTACTCTGATACTGATACTCTGATACTCTGATACTCTGATACTGATACTCTGATACTCTGATACTCTGATTCTTCAGCAGCTTTGTTTAGTTAGTTTAAATCTATGGCCTCTGGTTCTCGAAGTTCCAGGCCTGAGGAAGTCTTCACTATCAATTTTATCGATTCCCGTTACTATCTTGTACGTAGTGATCATATCGCCTCTTTTTCTTCTGTCTTCTAGTTTTGGCATATTTAATGCCTCTAACCTCTTCTCGTAGCTCTTACCCTTCAGTTCTGGGAGCCACTTCACCTAGTTGTGCTTGCGGGGGTTGAGCTCTGCTCTTTCGGCCCGCCTCTCAACTGTCAATCAATCAACTGTTACTAACTATTAACTCATTTTTTTCCACACACACACACACACACACAGAGGAATCTGTACACCTGTTGATTGACGGTTGAGAGGCGGGACCAAAGAGCCAGAGCTCAATCCCCGCAAGCACAATTAGGTAAGTACACACACTGGAAGCAGCCCGTAACAGCTGTCTAACTCCCAGGTACCTATTTACTGCTAGGTAACAGGGGGGCATTAGGGTGAAAGAAACTGCCTAATTTGTTTCTGCCATCACCGGGATTCGAACCCGGACCCTAGGATTACGAGTCCAGAGCGCTCTCCACTCGGCTATCAGGCCCCTGTGTGTGTGTGTGTGTGTGTGTGTGTGTGTGTGTGTGTGTGTGTGTGTGTGTGTGTGTGTGTGTGTGTAATTACCTAAGTGTAGTTACAGGATAAGAGCTACGCTCGTGGTGTCCCGTCTTCCCAGCACTCTTTGTCATATAACGCTTTAAAACTACAAAGTGTGTAAGTGTGTGTGTGTGTGCGTGCATGTGTGTGCGTGTGCGTGCGAGGTATGCTTCCTTACCTTAGGAGAGTGCAGTTTTTTTGGCGAGTATATTACATGCCGCTGGTGCCTGTGGTAGAAGGGTAGGGGAGTGCCTTACCTTGGTGTAGTGCTGCTTGTGGCGTGCCGTGGCGGCTGTGGGGGCGGACGTCAGCAGGAAGATGGAAGGGGCGACACTGTGAGCGTGTGTCTTGGCGAGCGGGCTGAGAGCGACTGGCGGCAGGCGGCCGGCTTGGGCGGCAGCGACTGTGGCGGCAGCGGCGGCAGCAGCGGCAACGACGGCGGCGCTGGGAGGGGAGAGAGAGAGAGAGACAGGAGGAGGGGGGGTGTGTTCCGCGGCTGGCTGGCCGAGGGGAGTGTGGGAGGGACAGAACGGGACAGAGAGAGGTTCGTCTCTCAGTGTATCATACCACTAAATGTCTCCCCCGTCCCCCCGCACCGGTCACTACTACCCAATGAGGTGACACGCAAGAGACACAGACATGCGGGTAGAATGACTCACATCTCACACAGACACCCAGACAGACAGACAGACAAGAACCAGCTAGCCAGCCAGACAGAGACAGCCAGATGTTACCAAATAGTTGCCAGAAGGGCCACCTACCCCTTCCAGATCCACCACCTACCCCTGCCACATCCACCACCTACCCCTTCCAGATCCACCACCTACCCTTTCCAGATCCACCACACCCCTTCCAGATCCACCACCTACCCCTTCCAGATCCACCACCTACCCCTGCCACATCCACCACCTACCCCTTCCAGATCACCACACTTCCAGGCCTGAGAGATCTCCCAGACGAGAGACGCACCACACAAACACAACACATCGAGTAAACAAATATACGAGAACTCGCTAACGAAATGGACAACAAAGTTAGAGAGACAGAGAGAGTGGAGAACAATTAGGGTCTTGGTGAAGGGAAGTGTGCGAGGCACGGAAGCGAACACGGGTGAGGAGGCCATGACGAAGCCTAACAAGAAGAAAGGAAGGATACACTATGAAACGCAAAAAAGGAAAAATGAGTTATTCATTCACAAATATAATAGTGTCATAGCAGCATCATTTACACTCTACATATCAGTGTCCCAGCACCCTCATTTACACTCTACATATCAGTGTCCCAGCACCATCATTTACACTCTACATATCAGTGTCCCAGCACCCTCATTTACACTCTACATATCAGTGTCCCAGCACCCTCATTTACACTCCACATATCAGTGTCCCAGCACTCTCATTTACACTCCACATATCAGTGTCCCAGCAGCATCATTTACACTCTACATATCAGTGTCCCAGCACCCTCATTTACACTCTACATATCAGTGTCCCAGCACTCTCATTTACACTCCACATATCAGTGTCCCAGCACTCTCATTTACACTCCACATATCAGTGTCCCAGCACCCTCATTTACACTCCACATATCAGTGTCCCAGCACTCTCATTTACACTCCACATATCAGTGTCCCAGCACTCTCATTTACACTCCACATATCAGTGTCCCAGCACCCTCATTTACACTCCACATATCAGTGTCCCAGCACTCTCATTTACACTCCACATATCAGTGTCCCAGCACTCTCATTTACACTCCACATATCAGTGTCCCAGCACCCTCATTTACACTCCACATATCAGTGTCCCAGCACTCTCATTTACACTCCTGTTACGGCCCTCTCGGGACGCAACGGGGTTCTTACTCTGATGTAGTTAGAGGAAGATATATATCCGGCCCCAAGCCAGTAGAGGCTATCAAGGGATGCGATCCGTGACGCAAGTAACTTAAAGGGAGTAGGGAAAGAAAGGTAAGAACTTAATATAATATAATATTCACCAACACCAATTAAATATATAAAAGTAAAACGTGCACAAGGGGAGGGTATTAACACTATACAAGGGGATCGTGCACAATCTAGTCTTCTGCTGAAGACTATGGATCCTCGAAGCTAGGTGCTGAGTCCGCGGTGCTTTCTTCGTGGCCTCAAGACGTGTCTTCTGGAACGCCGAGCCTACCCTGGCCACAGGTCAGCCAAAACACAGGTCCACTGGGGGCACCGTCGTGGAGGCCGTCAACCACACGTCCAGCAGGTCGGCTGGCAGGTACTGAGCCACCAAGGCTGGTACGGCCACTCCACGAACGATAAAAGGGGTACGCCCTAGACAGGAGTCTCGTGTGATATCACCAATCACCCTCCTGTCCTCAATACCCCAGTGGATTATCGTCTCCAACCGTCGGTCCCGGGTAAATCCTTCCACTGCCACTCCACTGGCAGGCTTAACACACCACAGTGTTCTTCCGGGGGGACGACGTCACAACAGCTGCAGCAAACTTCACAGTATGGAGACTGGCTGCCTCGGGTAGACTGACTCCACCTTCAACACAGTGGTCCCAGGTCGGCTCTGTAAGCAGACACGTCATCAATAACAGGGACACTAAAACACCACACTCACAGGCTCAGATACTAACACCTGACGTATCCAGTCCATAGATGGCGCTGTCGTCGGAGCACCACCTCACCAGAGGTCAGGAGCGGCGGTGTTGAGCGCTGAACCAGACTGGAAACTGGTCCTCGAGGCCAGTACACGCTGTCCTCACTAGGTGTCGTCGTTCGTTTGGCGGGGGTTTCGGGAGCTGACCCACAGATGGCGTGTTTGTCACTGCTCCAGGCTCGGACGCTGGATCCGGGTTCGTAACACCTCCCCACCAAAAAGAATTTGGTTTGGGGTTCTATAAAAAAACACAAACCAAATTAGCAGGGCGACACAACTCCAAATGGACTTACTTATACTATGAACTGGAGTGATGAGGCTGTCTTGTCCACAGAACTTTTCTACTAGCCATTTCCGGCACAACGGGAACTTGCAGATAGAAGGCAATGATCTGCCTGACGTAATCTTCCACGTCTCCACTGCGATGTCAAGCAGGGGCATCATCTCACATCTCTCGAGTACGGATTGGTTTCGACACGATCTGGGGTGACTCGACACTTTCCTATGTCGTGGCACCGATGATGGCTGACCACAGACGGCATTTCTGGTGCCGGTCCGATGGTCCTTCAGGGAGACAGGAACCTGGAATACAGGGGTCTGATAATTCAGAGTGATAGCGACAATGGGCAAGTCAGTACTTACTATACACTCCTCTACTAGGTCCACACCTAGTTCCAACAGGGCTGCTTGCTCACCGAAGATGGCATTCGCTCTGCCCCCGTCAGGTCGACCAACGTTCCGTATAACGCTGTGTTGAGGCTCAGCAGTCACGCGGGGGGTGTCAACCTGTCGGAAACAGTCACTCATATTATCACATATCGTACCTCCTGTATCATCTATTACCTCCCAGGTCCCTTCTTCAACTGCAACACTTGCAGTGCAAATCTCTAATCCCAGGGACCTCTTCTCGATGTTCACGGGAGCCATCATCCTTCGGGTCGTCCACTGATCCTTACTGAGAACACAGAGGGCACATAGGAGAACAAAACAAAAAATCGCTAAGAAACATGGGGCCAATTGAGGGATAAGCTTCCCGAGCCAGTCATGTCCATAGCCGGCAACATCCACACGCCTGGCTTGGACCGAAGAGGGCACTAGACCTTTTGAACACACCGCACCTACCTCTGACGTCTGGGGAATCTCTGGCTGGTTCACTACATGCTGTAACTTGCCATACCGCAAGCACACATCCGCCTTCGCTCCAGACTCGTTGGTATCCGTGGGTGCCCGCACACAAGGCCTCTCTTCTTGCTCAGGTATCTCTGCCTTCTTAACTTCATGTTCCTCGTCGAGAGAATCAGGAGACACTGCTAGAATATCATCGATCTGCGGGCGAGAGGACAAATTAGACATGTTCAAATCCGGGTCTGTCTTTACCTGGACATTACCATTGCCTGTTGTCACCTCCGACCTTGCTGTTCTGGTAGACTCGTCCGCAACCTTGGGACGATTGATGCTCCAATCGGTCACCAAGTCGTTGGCTAGTACCACGTCAATCCCAGCCACAGGGAGGGTATCGACTACTGCCAACTCACATGTGCCGCTGAAATAAGGCGAATCAAGATGTACTGGCACTAAGGGGGCGATGTACTGTGTCCTAGGAAACCCAACCAGGATCACCTCTGGTCTCCTATCCACACTTACTCCCTCGGGTAACGAGCTCTTCACGATCAGGGACTGGGCTGCTCCACTATCTCTGAGCACTACAATTGATCTATCAGTATGATCACTCTTTACATACCCGGTTGAAGTGTGAGGGGCCAACAAACTTGGTCCTTCCTGCGTCGTCGTAGACTGGTTTCCTACTGGTGATGTAACACAGCTCACTAACATCACCTCCCTTCGTGCGCTGCCACCTCTTATGCCTCGGCACCTAGCAGCTATATGCCCTTTCTGCCCACAAGTCCAGCACACCATATTCCTCCTTGGACTAAGGTGTTTCGGACTACTAGGACTTGTTCTTCGGGGGCTACTTGGGGGCGTCTTCTTAGCGCTTCGTGTGACGGGTCTTTCTTCTTCTTCGTCGTGAGGTCTGTCAAACCGGCGCTGGTAATTCCTCGGGACGTACTTAGCAGACGGCCTATGAGTCAGGATGTACTCTTCAGCCATGGTGGCTGCTGCACTCAAGGTCTCTACCTGCTGTTCCTCTAAGTACGTCTTGAGGTCTCCAGACAAACAATCTTTGAAGTCTTCGAGCAGAATCAGCTGTTCGAGGTCTTCCCTGGTCTCCACCTTCCGAGAGGCACACCATTCCTGGAAAAGTCGCTCCTTGATGGTGGCGAATTCGGTAAAAGTGTGCTCTGAGGTCTTCTTCAGGTTTCTGAACTTTTGCCTATATGCCTCAGGTACCAATTGGTACGCCATGAGCACCACTTTCTTCACCATATCGTAATCGCCGGAGTCAAGGGATAACGTAGAGTAGGCGATTTGGGCCTTCTCAGTCAAGACTGACTGTATCATGATGGCCCAATTCTCCCTTGGCCACTCCAAAGAGGCAGCGACTTTCTCAAAGGCTGCGAAGAACTTCGAAACTTCTCTCTCGTTGAATTTGGGGACCATTTTGATATTCCTTACCGGATCGAAACCGCTTACTCCAGTTTGTCTCTGTCCAGCGCCTAGTAGTAATACTTCTAGTTCATGTTGTCTCTGTCTTTCTTTTCTTCTCTTTCTCGCTGTTTCTCTTCTCTTTCTCGTTCTTCTCTCTCTCTTTCTCGTTCTTCTCTCTCTCTTTCTCGTTCTTCTCTCTCTCTTTCTCGTTCT